GCGCTCTCCATATTTGAATGGATGCTCACGACAAAGCATTTGATCGACCTGTAAAACAAACACATTCTCGTCTAAATCATAGCAAATGAAATAACACCAGAAAGCTTCTCCTTGACCAACCACCTTCACAAAGAACCTGTCATAATTCCCGTATTCGTCGATGATCTTGTAATCCAAGCTTGTGAGATCCATCTCTATATAGCTCCAACAAAAATTATTACTAAACTGTAGAGAGCTTATAGAATCCATTTACTTAATTGTGCTGTAGATAGTACAGCCACAGGACGCAATACTGCCCACAATGTCCAAATCGAGGGCCCTGAATATTAACTTCGCGATAAAAAATAACCTTTGGTATCACACGTGGTATTGGCAAGCCGAGGGGGTCAAAGTAAGTTTTATGTTTGTTTGAGACTGCTAGCCAATGTGTCTCGCCGATCTGAGGCGTTCCCATGTTTATATTTTAGGAGTGTTGTGAGCTCAATATTTTTTCAATTTTAAAAAATCAAGTGTTATTTAAAAGCTCCTGTTAAAAGCAAGTAGTCTTGCAGTTTTTTCGATGTAAGATTACAATAAATGTCACTGTTTTGGTTAAGTGCGAAAACCAATAGGCCAGCTCTTAGCTCGATTATCTCGATAACTCTAAATGGTTCGTAAGTATGATATTGTTTGACGCACCCTCCGATTTTGGCCACCGAGGATGTAACATTCGTTGGGACACCGTTTTTTCGTGACTGCGATGTGCCATTCATCTATGAACTCATCAATTCGCACTACTCGCTCACTACGTCCTTGAACTCATGAGCTAAAAGACCAAAAGAGCAGCCTTGCGCTAGTCCGCTTCTCGCAATGTTGTCCAGAGACTCCTCCACATCATTCAAGCGATCCTTGATGGTTTTCTTGCGGTCCATCTCTTCGCGGAGTGCATTGATCGTTTCCAGATGGATACCGACAAGAAATCCATCCTTGAGAAGAAGTGCAGCACCAGAATCTCCAGCGTACGTTGGGCACGAATACATGATGTGTCTTCTGTAAGCACTGATGGAGATGCCGGCTACCGGAGCAAATCCCAGTTGATTCTTAAACACGTCTTGGTATTCGTCAATACCGAATCGATACGATGCCAACACAAGATCATAGCGTCCTCTTAGTTCATCTGGTCTTCCATTCCATGGAGGAATGAAGAATGATCTGGGTTTGGACGACTTCAGAATCGCAAAGTCCAGCTGAGAAACTGCGAGCAACAACTTCAACAGCTTCAATACCTTCCTTCAACGCCAGAGACGCCATGCTTCCCACAGTGTGTTGCTCCGTTAGGTTATGGTCGCATGTCACCGCTAGAGTCGAGCTGAAAAACACACCCATTCCAACACCGTTGCGTTCTCCGTCTTCTTCCACGATCACAAATACTGCCTTTTCGACTTGTTCTTGAACGTTTGGCTGGATAAAATAACGTGAATCGCTTTCTGCGTGCTTCGGCACTTGCACAATGAGCGCATTCTCTCCAGTATTCCCATACGCCGTCACTAGGGACCCCGACTGGGGCAGCAGCACGTTTCGCTTCGCATCGTACTCCGCCCGGTTCGCAAAGACTGCGAGGTCGACAGCATCGACGTTCGCGAGAGCGCTCGGACACTCTTTCTTCACTGCCTTTCGGAACGTATCCACATCTTCACATCCACACCTACAGAAGTCGTCGATGTGAGATCCTTGCCGTTCCCGCCCACGAGCAG